CATATGAAATCTGGATGACTCAAAGCCGTCAAAGGACCACAGAGGTCTGAGTTATTGTATTTATTGCAGCGTGTAGTACCAGTTGATCACCTTATTTTGACTTTTCACGTTACAAGCTGAGGGGCAGGTGGGAAGCTGGGGTCTTTATTTCGCCGAATGCAGTGCTAGTTATGATATATAGCCGGCCGAGTCCAGCGGCAAAATGGGAAAAAAAAGTTCTGAATTACACAAGGCAAGCTGTTACGGCTCAATAACCCAGGCCTGTAATCGGCTCACATTTCAAACACACACACTCACATTCAGACAGCCCCTTGCTTGGGCAGGTTTTTACGAGGAAGCACACCGCACGAGGTGATCAGCATATGTTTTGTTGACATAAATTTAAAATTTATTGCCGTTGTCAAAAGTGACTGTTGGACAAAGTCGATTATTAACTGAGTAAATGGCCTGAGAGAGTTTTATGTGAACTTCCTTAATGGCTACAGTCAGTCTGTTTCAAATCACCCTCCCTCCCTCCCTCCCTCCCTGAGCTCCCACCCACCAAACACACACACACACACACACACACACACACCGCACACCGCTTGTCGTCTAGTTTCAGAAAGCACAACACTGAAAGCAGACAGTACGAAGGGGATGCGGATGTTTAGAGAGTGTCTCGTCGGTGTGCTGGCGTGTGTGTGTGTGTGTGGAGAGGTCTATCCGAGCTAAATCACTGAGCTGAGACAAAATATTTTAGTATCCTTTTACATACCATTAAACATTGTTGGAGCTGAATTACGGTGTATTATTAGCTCTTCTTAGGCATACAAAGTGGCAAATACCTCAGATGCTGACTATTGTCTAATGTTGCATATTATTGTACTGCAATCAGGAGAACAATCATTATTGACGTGTGCACCATAAAGATGAGAAACGTGAATAGTCTTTGGCGATTAGACCCCATCGTGTCTGCATCATATTTTAAAGGGGTCTTGATTAAGTCTAGACACTGGTGGCGGTGGTGATGGGATGGAGAGAAGGGTTGAAGATGTAGATGTGACTAAAAGAGTAACGCTCATAGTCAGCTGATTACAAAGGAAGCAGGAGAAGAGGCAGAGAAATGTGAGTTAGTAACATAGTCTAATGCTAAGATTATATTTTGTAGCTGTGTGTGTGCACCTCTGTCTACAATTAAGAGTATTTCATGAATGGGGACTCGTCTTCATATGTTATCTTGTGTGTCCATAGTGCTAGTTATGTATACCTTGTAGTCGCCATGTTTCAAAAATACATTCCTAATAATTTCTAATGTGCAACATCTCAGATAGCGCAAAATAAAACGCCAGTTAAACTGGTAAAGTTAGCACACTGGCCCCAGAAGATCAAATGTGATCTGGCTCAAATGTGACGCATACAGATACAGTAGCTACATTTGGATAGTCTTTCTGGCTGTGATTTGGGCTCAGAGTCAGCTCTGTTAGCTGCACTCAGGCTAGCTTTTCACCATTGTCACCAGCCGGAATGGGAATATTGCACTTGGCCTGGTTTTGCAGCATTATTCATGACGAGTCTGGCAGGAATTTGGAAACCAAGCATGCCGGATGTGAGCCAGTGCTGGGCCGAGCCTGGGTTTTTCCCCTACTGCAATACAATTTGTACAATACTGTAGCTTATACTCTCATTCATTGTGTCCATTTCTGATATATTCATTGTATTACTTTTCATAAAAATTGCATTTTGCATATGGTCTGAATGCTGTTGAAGTCTCAACAAGAAACTTTTTTGTTCCTGTGGAAAAAAGCGCTAGCGTTTCCACTGAATCATGGGAATCCAAGTGAATCCGACTGTGGCAACCATTACAAATAACCATATCATACTTGCCAATCTTCTCTCGGTCTTGTTTGTTAATGTAGATCATATAAAGGCATAAGTATTAAATTGTGACATTTAAGTAACCAGTTAAAAACTCCTTGTAGAACGTTTAAATGCTGAAAGAAAGGGCGTCATTAGCGTTGCAGTAGGACAGCCTTCTCAAAGTCCTAAACCTTCCCTCGAACAGACTGAATTACTGGAACAGGTGCTGTTACCATTCTGTTGAACATCAAGTAATGTGCTGTTTCTGTGAGTAGTGCTAGCTATTGCAGTTGAATTTAACACTCTCTCAGCTAGGGACATACACACCGCACTTTGCTCATCAACACTACATTTACGGTGAAAATACATGGCATTGCTTCCACTTCTAGTGGCCTTAATAAGTCCATCCATACCTTATCAGTGCTCTGTCTGGGGGGCACAATGGTCAGATTGAGGAGGGACACAAAAGGCCTTTGAAAGGCTTTGTGCTCTGTGTGTTGTGTTGAGGTTTACCGCCTGCATGTGTTTTCCCCTTATCAGAGTGAAAGTGTGTGAGTACATCACCTGTGATCCTTGCAAGGAAAAAGCCCTGTTCCATTCTTTTGTCCATTTTGTTGTTTGTTGGTGAATTTATGTCATTCATGGGGATAACTCGTCAAAGACTAAATTACTTCAATCAGGGGTAAACATCAGTCTTTGGTCCCTCAGAGTTGAAAATGTGAGGCGATTATTCTAGTGCTGCTATTTTGCACCAATCATGGGGGGAAGAATTCTAACATAGGGAGTTCATCCACCAGCCTTTGCCTCAGTAGACCAGAATGCAATGCAGTTATAACGCAATTGCTGTTTATTTGTCTTTGTATATAACCACACACACCACACCACACTATGATTCTGTATTGTTACACCTGTATGCCTGCGTTTGATTGAACGCAACCAATCAGATTTATCTGCTGGTTATGGAAGGGTAACGCAGCCTTCAGTTAAAACGAACAATAGCTACTTAAGAGGTTAACGTAGATCAGTTGTATCAGAACTGGAGAGTATTCATTGAAAGAAGAGCAAAGAACGCCACTGACGTTTTCGCTCTTCAGTAACAGTTTGACTACATTATGCAGTTCATTGATCTGATTGGTTGAAGTTCCCCCATGATAGCCACAGATAGACCGATGGTTCAACCAATCACCTGCAAGGTATTTTTTGAGTGCCTGCCCTTTTTCAAACAATGACAATTCCACAATGACTTCCCAGATGGTTCTGTAACAAAGAATCTCACACAGTTGGGTTAATAGAAGGGCATTCTGGGAAGAAGATCCATTAAAGTTCCTTACATTATGATGTAACTGCTAGACTCAACTCTCCATCCTACCATCACAAATTGATATCTAACAGTATCTAACAGAGTATTGTTTTCTTTCTCAGCTGTGTCATTCTTCTGTGTCACTTTCTCTACCCTTTTGGCTCCTCAAGTGTCCCTCTTTCCCTTTTGGGGGCATTTGGCATTTATAAGGCCTTTTAATTACTAAGTGCTTGCCAAAGGGCTGTCATTCTGCCTTTAGTTTCCTGGGTCTCCCCGCAAATTCTAACCACTATAACGGTCATGACTTCTTCAACCCACCTGCATATATATATATTTAACACTTCAGTTTTTTGCCGCCCTTCCTGTCGGGTTTCAAGGATGTTTTGCAGCAATTAATTGTCGCTGAAGCCATGCTAGACTTTGTTGCTTAATAATTTCTGCAGTCTTTGCCATAAGACACGCTATAATCTCTCTCTGTCTGTCTCGGTCTCATCCCCGCTCTGTCTCTTCCTACCCCTCTTGAGGCACAAAAGAGAGCTGTAAATCAATTTGCATTCGACATCTGACATCAATCAGTCATGTTTTGGGAGAGTGGCACCACCTCCTCCTCTGCGGCTTTGTTGAGAGACGCTAAGATGGATGGCTGTCATCTCGTCCAAGTTGAGCAGATCTCTTATCAAGGGCATTGTTTCCCAAAGAATGCCTTGTTTTGTCTGCCAGAAGCATACACTCACCTGAGTATAGAATCGCGTGCTTGTCCTGTGCAAAATTTATTTCAGTTTTGCATTAAAGTGTTCAACATTATTCAAATGTAGAAACATGCAAATCAGACCAAAGCCTTATAATTAGCTTAAAGAGTTATCAGTGGTGTTTTTCGCCACATGCCACCATCTTGATTTAACCTGATGGTAGCACTATTATCAAAAAGATGTTAGTGGAGCCTCACTGTGTGACAGAGCAACAGTTTTGGAAGATTAAATGTGCCAAATCTGAAACAGCACCAACTTGACAAACAATCATTACAATCGTGTGTGTGTGTGTGTGCGCCTTTGTGTGCCTCACTCAAGGCGAGGTATTTGAAGTTCTCGGGAGGTTTAAGGCACTGTGGCAGTTGTTTGGCAATTCGTGTCACCTTAATTGCTTTAGAGCACTTTCAGATATCTCTCAAGAATAATATGCTTTGTACTGAGCCGTGGGGTCTTTGAGGATTTCGTAACGGAGAGAGACGTGGGGCTAGACTATCTGTTGTCAGATGTTATTTAGTTACCTAACCTTCAAGGCCTTTACCACATAATCAAATATTGAACCTTAGTCTTGTCTGACCTTGTGCACTTAAACTATGTTACAGCCTAATGACTGTCTATTTGGGAAAAGACAATTCATTGCACATCAGATTTTGCTTCAAGCTACACATTACCTTATAGTTTAGAGAGCAGTCGTCAAAAAGTGGCCCATAAATGGTTCATAACACTAAGTAGCTGTCTTATGTGTTTGCCTGAATAAATCATTCTATTTCCCTTTTATAGCTCCTTATCCATCTGCAGCACTTGAGATGCAGGGAGTTGATAATGCCTCTGCTTGAATAGCACCTTGTGATTTACAAGTCATGGTCTGGTGCTCCCTGCAGAAGAATATGTGCAGTAGTCGGACGACTTGTTACCCTGATGCTTATTGTTATGCGCGGTTATGATTGATGGAGTGTGACACTTTCTCTCAAATTGCAAAAAGCCAAATCTTTGTTGTGCTGAAAGTTATTAGTTGCTGCTGTAAAAAGAGTGAGGTTCATGCACAATGAGCTTGGTCAGAGCTGTATTGTTCAACGGAGGACAGGCAGTGAAATGTTTGTTTTGCTCTTTGTCAACAGGAAGATGCACAGTGGAATGAAGACCTACGGCTGTGAGCTGTGCGGGAAGAGCTTCCTGGACAGCCTCCGTCTGCGGATGCATTTGCTGTCTCATTCAGGTAAAGAAATAAACCCAAAAAGCACACAAACGCCACACTGATCACTGTTGGGCTAGCAGCCCTTTCATTGGTGGGTTTACTGTTTGTTGTAGGGACAAACTGGTGGGACAGAGCATTTATTACTCTGCTATACAGTTGCATTTTAACAAGTTTCCCAGAGCAGGTATGAAACAAAATATAGTGAACCACAGTCAGTTTAAAGTCTGTATTAAAGTCCTAATGTCAGAGGTCACTCATCGCTCATTAAAGGGCCACAGCATTAGTTTTGCACGTTTTAACCGATTCATCACAAATCATAATGTTTCTTACGACACTTTCCAAAGCAGTCTGCAGATGTTTAGATTGTGTTTTTATTGGTTTCCATTAATTTTACTGCAGTTCATAACCAGATTACTTTGTTGTTCATTTACAACTACAATTCTCCAATACTCCAATGCAATCGGAAGTTTGCCAGAAATAAAAGTAGGCCTGATGTTCTCTCTGATAAATATCTAGCCGGGCTGCCAGGATTTCAGAAGTACTGAGGTCAGGAGTCCAAATTCCCCAGCACAGCCCCACCCAGAGACATTTTTGACTAGCCACCAAAGACGTCTTATTAATTTTTTTTTTTATTTAACTGTTTGCTGAGGACATGACCTTACTGTCCTCAGTGGTAGATACAGTCCTGAACAGGTTTTACATCCTAGAAAGTTGATTATAATTTATTGAGTTATGTGATTCCACATGAATGCGCTGTACATGCTAAACACTGGCATTATCCTTCAAAGGGAAATCTCTTTTTCCTGCAGATTTACACTGTTATACCCTGAACCAAAGGCCGTCTTAAGCTTTTACCCTTGTATCCCACAAATCTGGTTTACAACCATGAATAGATTCAAAGTGATTAATTCACTATGAATACATTGTGTAATACATCACTACTGAAAAGAAATTCTTGATATAGTATTTACAGTAGATGTCAACTTTGAAGTTTCTGCAGCCTGAGAGCTGAATAAAGGGATAGCTTGCCTTACATGCTTTATCTCACTATAAATATACTAGTTTTAAATATGTGAATGTGGAGCATAACCCAGTTTCAGTGATTTGTGGATGAAATAACTCTTCAGCCCAGTAAAGCTGAGCAGCTCTGGGAAACTTAACCAAAGAGGTGCCTGCATATCATCATCCCGTCATCCTACACCTCCGTGACATCCGAGGTCTGAAAGGCAGTAGAAGTAAGAACACAGGACACATTGATTGGTCCAGTCTGACACTATTACACCCACCCCCCAAAAACACCCCCCAGCAGTCCCTGCGCTCTGAGCCTACTTAGCACAGCACTGCTTTAATGGCATGGACTCTCTTTTATAGGCAGCAAAGAGCTCCTCACTCCTAAGGCTCTAAGTGCAGATGGTTTATTGAGACACTGTAAAAGCCATGGGACCTCAGAGGGAACCCCTTCTGTACACACACACACACACACAAAACCCCAAATCCATGTGTTGACGTTGGCCTAGAAATTGAGCCCTCTGTTTGGTGCCTTGCATGTTTTCCAATGGGACACAGTAAGTGGTCCGAATTGTCTTCTTGGCATTGTTGTTGTTGTTGTTGT